CATTAACTGCACTTTTGGATAACCATAACATCTTATGTTTGCTAAGACGCTGGGCGACTCGAATGTTTGAACGAGAGCAGGGTCACAGCTTTGGGCGACTGCATGATAATTCATTCGCTCAAATCTTGGGCGACTTGCAACCTTGGGCGATGGTATTACCGCGTTCATGGGCTTCCCTATTTGGGCCTTTATCCTGCATTGCCTGATTGGGTCGTTCTTTGGGCTATTTGATTTTGGGGATCTTCCAATTGGATTTCATTCCTTGGGCTATTCGACTTGGGCTGAACTTTTTGTGTGTCAACACCACCTCTCCACTTGTGGTCCTAAATTACCCTGTTATTGTAAGTTCTAATTTTTCTTTTCCACTTCTATACATGGATTGCTATTTTGAAATTTCTGCAAGCTTTTTTTTTTTTTTTTTTTTTTTCCGATTTTACTGTTACTCAAGAAATATTGCTATAGAAGAGAGCATTCTCCTTCATTCTGAATCTGTTATGTAGTTTTCTCTTGTCGGATTTTGTTGGCTTCCCTTTGTTTTACAAGGTTATGATCTATATAATTTTTGTTTGTTATTGGATAAATAGTAAATCTAGAGGAAATTTGTATCTTCATATTGTGGTGCTTCTACTTCCAATGTACGTGGGATTTCTATTTTGCTTGGTTTTCCATTTGGTGGTCTTTTAAGCCAGGCAACAAAACGGTACTTGATACAAAATTGAGAACTTGGATGGGAAATTGGATGAGCAAGTAGAGATTTCGAAATTAATTAGAAGCGAGATAATTTAAGATGGAATAATTATTATTATTTTTCATAAGTTGATTTTCTATGATGTACAGTAGAATATTCCATATTGTTGGTTACCTATACAGTTTGGCTTTAAGTTGGCTTCTTTAGCTAGGTGAATGGGGGAATCAAATTGTTCCAAGAGCTGCCATATTGAGCAACATCTTTTGTTTCAATACCCAAAAAAATTGGACTTCACTAACTCCTAAGTCTTTGTCTTTTTTATTTGAAAAGCTAGCGTGTTGCAATTTATGTGAACGTTTTGTGATGACGTGAACTAGCTAAATTTTTAGTCTTTCTGCTTTGGCCATTGACGAGTCATTTTTTTGTACTTGGCCGTCACATTTGTATTAACATCAGGTTTATTGCTTCCTCCTTTTGGCGTTTAAACTTTGCTTATTTAATATTTGAAATTGCATAAAGCTACTCTCATTGAAGGAAAGCAGGTAAAACATATTCCATTGTCTTAACTGAAATAATTTTGTACTTTGCATGAAAAATAATTCTCTTCCATTCTTTCAATTTGTTGTGCTGAGGAGGAGAATTCCTTTTAGGTTTTTTTACTGTCTTGATAGAAAGTTACTATTTAATTGAATTATTTATTTCTAATTTATCATTGTGTTGGTTAATCTTTGTTGTCCCATTGATGATTTATTTCTATAGAAGCCTTCAAATACAGGGGTTATGTATCTATGTAGCATTGTCAGTGGATGGAAGCCAAAAATGTATAAAATGCTCCAAGTTTGAAATGCTACTGAACTCTTGTTTTTTCAGTTTGCCCATGCAAATAACGTATGTTAGATAATTTGCAAGATGCTGAGTTTAGATTATGCCATATTTTTAGTTTGGCTCGAAATGCTGGTGAAAGTGCAAGAGAAGCACCATACATTGCAACACCAGTTCATGTCTCCATTGCATTTCATCTGAAGTTGATGCTCCATGCAAACCTCGCTCCTTGAGCTCAAGATGCCCCAAGCAAGCACGAAGACAATGTACCCATGCTCGAAAATGTTGTTGGAGTAGAACCTTGTATGAATCTTTGGAAAAATATTTACAATGTCATTTTGAATACATCCTTAATGTTTTTGTTGGAGTAGAACCTTGTATGAATGTTTGGTTGTTTGATTATTGGCATATTATGCAATTCAGTTATGTTATTATAGACCAGAGTTGGTATATGGTGTCATGTTATTTTGGTAGTTCTTGTATTGTAAATTTTATCACTGTTAAGCTGTTGTTCCTAACATATGAAATGTCAAGCATCGAGGTTCACGGGTATCAAATGTCAAGAATGACATTTCAAAAATAAAAAATTCATGAAATATAGAGAACATTTATGTTTGGAACGAAATTTTGTTCTATATAGATGAAATGTCAAGTGTTGAGATAAACATGGACCAAACGTCGATAACAACTTTTAAAATGTTAAGACGTTGTGAGTATTGAAAGCAAATGAAATCAATTAATTGAAGGGTAAAATAATAACGAGATTAAATGAAGAGTTAAATGAAAACAAGTGGAGATTGTGAGATCATCCCAGTCAAAATCCCACCGGATGGAGACCATCCTTTGTTTGGCATTTAGTACGTCGAAAAGTTGGTCAACAATGTAGGACCGGGTCAAGATGTCATGGGAGATGTCATCATCATAAACTTCGATGACAATGATGGTAGTGAGATATCTTTACTGTCCATTGGGAGATGTCTTTGTACATCATCATGTTATGACCACTTCAAATAAGAAACTCATTGTCGTTTTCATGATTTATTTTGATGAAGTGGTGAAGTTAATATAGTTTGACAGTTTAAGAACTTCTCGATTTGATTTTGAGTTGTAATTTGAAATTTAGTATGTGGCTATACAATGATGTTGAAATCATAGTATTAAATTTATGTTTTCTATTGTTCATCAAATAATTACAAAGTGTTGAAATGAACTGAGAAAATAACGTAGAAATGCAAAAGTATATTATTCATGAATGATAAATTTGATGTTAACATGAATACAGAAAACATTCAAGTGCTTGGGTTAGTCAATGGTTCTGGGTTCTTACACGTTTGCCTATCGTGTCGATACCTCTGCACCGTCTACATTTTCGCGTGCTCATCAACCTTTCTTTCTATCAAGATTAAGTTTTTCGAATAACTTATTGACAAGCTCTTCATATCTAATGTCACTTCGAATAACAATTTATGTTGTTCGATTCCCAAACCATTTTCACTCATCTTCCATGTTGACGAATGTACCACATGGGAGACAATAAATCTCATAATATCTCACATATCTCCATGTCGTCAACGCAAATAATGTTAGCTAACACGAATACTTAAAACAGACATGCTATCCATAAGCAATGTGGTCAATGATAAAAAAAAAATGTTCCGTAACTTTGCTAAGTTTGTAACATAATTTTTGATATAATTCTCGATATTTGAAACAATATCAAGAATTACATTTGAATTGTCATTCTCAACATTTATAAAATGTCGAGTTGGCCAGAAACTTCACCATATACATTTATCATTTTCTTCAACTTCAACAACCATTTTTTCAAGGAATTTATTCCACTATTAATAGCATTGTCAATACATGACAACATTGCAAATCCATCTATTAAAGTTATTTAAATAGGTTGTAACACCATATTTGAGAAACACAAAACAATAAATATGAATTTGATTTTAAAATACTCAAATAATTTTACAACAAATATCTACTAATTGTTTGAAAAATGTAATAATCCATTTACATCATATATATTACAACAACTACCAAACACAACTTATCAACAAAAATAAGATTTCAAAGAAAATTTACATTCTATCAAGATTGTGGATGAAATTAAATTTCTCAAAACGAAATTATATGATTTTCTTATGAATTAGATGTAAATTTTTTTGTGTCAATGATTTTTCTATTGTAAATTTTTTTTTTGGTCAATGATTTTTCTATTTCACCATTTTCATTTCTACCCAAAGTCATTGGTCATTATCTAATAGATAATGAAAGGAAATTAACCCATTTGGTATTACCTTGCATTAATATAGCTTCTCATGGAAGCTACTTATTTTTCTAGAAATTTGTGACAAATTGAAAAGAAAAAAATTGCTTCATTTTATTTAAAGGTATAAAAGACAATTTGATACCACATTTGGCCATTTTTGAAAGAATTATCAAAATTGGACACTTTTTTCAATTGATAAGCATGATCCATTTTTGAAAATTCCCCTTTTAAATATACGTGTTAAATACCGTTGTGTATGCAGCTCATATAAAATGGAATACATGTTTATTGGATCAAATTTGGTCAATATCGGAGTGGAGTAGAGCGAGGAGAGTGATGACATTGACTTTTTGGGTTTTAATTTACAGTCTGTTTACCAGGGATGTTGATATTCTCGAAGTACGATACAAGAATATTTTCTTGTACGGGCCATAAAGTCTTGTATGGGCTTGAGCCAGGGTCACTATAAATACTAATGATATAACTCTATTATTCATACTGAATAAAAATATCTCTGCTTCACTTCTTGTGAATGTAGGCACACATCTGAATTACGTTAAATGCTTGTGTTAATTTATCTCTTTCACTTCTCTATTAATACGTATAAAATCCAACAAATGCACACTATATCAAGAGTATACTTTTTAAATCTCCCTTCCTATAATATCCTGCATTTTTTGATATTCATTTTCTAGTTAATAAAAACTATCAAGCAATTATAATATCAAATTGTACATATTTTTTCTATGAGTCACAATTTTCTTCCAAATAGGATATCGAAAATTAAGCTTCTCGCTGTGTGTTAGAAACTCTAAATTAAAAATAAGTAATACATAAATACTAAAATGAATAATAGAATTCACATAAACTTATTAATAGAGTTAAATGGTAAAAGTGAAAAATAAATAATCCATAATAATGATAAATTATACAATTATTCTATTATGGAGTAATCAATAATATTGGAAAAAATATTATGGAAGTCTTGACATATTTTAACACAGTGTATTTGTATTTTGAAAGTTGTTCAATTGATGATGCCTTCCAATCTATAAAGGTTTATAAATAAATTTTTTTCGAGGGAAAAAAACTGAATATATGCGGGACATTAGGATTCATGTAATATAACAAATTCCAGGCATTCAATTATACAATTAGGAATATTCCTGCATATGGTAACATGAAAATTGAAATTGAAATTGAAATTGTCACTAATTTAAACAACAGATTCACGACTGCATGTTTGGCAAATTGGTATGCAGTACTAGATAGATGGTATGGTATAAACGAGATTCAAATTATTATCATTATTTTTTTTCTTCGTAATACTATCTAGTACTGCATACTCTCAATTACCAAACAAGCTCGTATATGTAATATTCTGGTAAGATGTTTGTACGTACGCCCGTTAAAACAAGGGCTTAGAAATGTAACACAAAGATATATGCTTCGTAAACTATAGAATTTTGCTATTCGTACACGGGCAGTTGACAAGCCCGGGTACACTCCCCTCACAAGAGGAGGGTCCACGCCCAATAAAAAAAAAAAACATGGGCCCCCCTCTTGTGAGGGGAGTGTACACAGACGTGTCAACCGCCCGTGCACAAATAGCAAGGTTCTAAACTATATAGCGGGTTTATTGTCAACATTCAAAGTATTGAAAAGCAAAAAGCATAAACCAATTGATCTTCTTCATACTACCAGAAGAAATTAGTGAATTGAGATGAAGCTTGAGAATCATCCTCATCCTGTGATGGTGAATGTATGTGCCTCCCTTCATATGTGGTTATCACCATTCTTGGATCCTCCGCAAGTCGTTCCACGCGTTTCTTCACACGACAGTTATCCTGAGTGCAACGATAATAGCTCCTGGATGAAATAATATAAAAACCAACATCATTTTCAGTAGCTTAAAAGAGATCTAGTCAAACTATCTTCTCAGACCATTGAACGACTTGCGAATTAAACACACATAATGAAGCATGTGAGGAGGCAGTGAATTGGTGAAATGAAGGTATAAAGAATGTGCTGATATCAATAGCCTGAATGAAGCAATTTTATGGGCTCAGCTCCATTTTTTTTCCTCCCTGGAGGAGAAGAAAGGATATAATAAAATTCTATTGTTGTGTAAAACGCATTAGGAAGTGCCTTGATGGTTCTATCATTCATTTCTGCAAGCTCTAGCACCGTGACCATGCTTTTCTTGTTCGAAATGGTCATATTTTTTATATACACCTACATAGCGATACAATCATAGTATGTGAAATACGTTAACTAAAGGAGCAGTAAGTTGTTGTAGTTGCTAAGCATCTAGTTATTCACATTTTCTAAGTAGTTTTCTGGTTGTAACAAATGTGTATAATTTTTCAAATTCCTTTTAGCATTCTATGTATTTATAAAGCGAAGTAACCCAGTACAAAAGTATAAGCACTCGACAAGTTTAAGTGCAAACTTGTCCTCTAAACCAAGATTTTGGCCGATGGCTTGAGAGAATCCATCCTACTCAGGTACATGAAGGCTTCAATAAGTTCAATTAGTCAATGGAAAAATAGAAATAAACAATTAGTATAGCAAAAAATGGAAACAGACAAACACACCGGATGAAATGTTTTATCCTCAATATGAATTTATATCGTATGCTCTAACACAAAGATCTCTTTCTTTTAGTTAACCGACCAGAGACCTTATCTTCTTAAAAATGCTTTAGGGGGTGGGGGCTTAACTCTATAACCAGGAGTAAACGACACCGTTGCTCAAGATTTTGAGTGAAATGGTATGATTAAAATGGAACTCTTTCATATAAAATCACTTGGCTAATCAATGGTAGGCCACTGTGGTTTGGATTTATGCTTTACCTAATGCAAAATAAAAAAGAAAAAGGAGATTAAAATGTAAATGGAAAACACTGGAGCAATTGAAAACTGGCAAATGCTGGACTCATTATTATTAGACAGTAGCTTTTTGGCAGAGTGGGCTCTTTTGGGCATGTCCCAAGTCATATAAAGTTAGCACTTTGTGGTAAATATGAGGAGATGGCTCCTGAAAAAAGGAGAAAAATCTCAAATATTTGTAATCATTTTACAATAAAAGTTCAATTTACTTTTAACCTAAATACAAATCATGGAAAGGGATCTTCATAAGATCCTAATGTGGAACACAAGACAAGTAGATCTGATAATCATTTTTTTTCCTCTAGGGTTTCTATTGAAAATCTGCAAATGAGTTTAATTAATCAATGTTTTGCATGGTGTTTTTCTGGGGATTTTGATGATATTATTGGGTTATCATCTAAATTTGAATCATCAATTATCTAATTGATGATGAGGATAATAATTAACGGTGACACTGAAAATGCTTCATTTTTTACTGATTACATCAATGGAGTTGAGATATATCATTTCTAACTTGATTATCATATCTCATAGGAAACCCTACAAAAACTTTTAATTAAAAGGCTAGATTAAACTAATAATTGTACTGTTAGAATCTAAGTCCAATTACAATGTACTTAATTCTGCATTCATCTAAATCTGATCCCTCATATATATGACACTACATTAGTGATATATAAACACATAACTAACAATACCTATCCAGATCAAGATTCAGCATTAAGCAGGAATTTAGAATGATAAAGTGGGTGGGGGAGATTGAACTGCAAATTTTAAAGTTACTGAAATGCATGGGAAAATTAAAGAGGGAGAATCAATTAGAAAGAATATGGAAGAAAGAGAAATCCAACCTAGGATGTTGGGTGTTTTTCACTACTTTCTGGCCATATTTTCTCCACTTGTAACCATCGTCCAAGACATCTATATCACTCATGGTCTTGAAGCAAAACCTGGGCTCTCTTACCTTTCTTCTTGCCTTAATCTTCTTCATCTTCATTGCCGAAACCCCGAGATAGTCTTCCCCTCCACTTCTCTTGATGCTCATGGTATCGTTCATTCCTCCCCATGCCCTATTACTTAAACATAAGCATGAAGTAAATGATTGGTATCAAAACTAGAAAGGACTTGATAGTCTTCTTCGTTAATATTGTTTAGTGCTATATAATCTTCTAACATATATGCCAGAAGAATTTTCTAAATGTTTGTGAGACAAAAAGTAAAATTTTTATTACCAGTAATTCGGAGTGGATCTTTGCGAAGAAAAAAATTGGGATCCTGCAAGTTGAGGTGGTATTTCTTCCTTTTGTTTTTGGGCAAAGGACTCAGAAATGGCAATTGTTCCATCTACTGCAAGAGAAGGAGGTAACATGGCAAGAGTTTTAAGGGATTGACTGCACCCCAATTGAAAAGAGGTGAAGTTCGAATGGATGGGGAAAAATCCAAGTTGCGATGACAAATCTTGATCCTCAAACAAATTCTGGTTGAGCATAATTTGGGATGCAGTACTGGACATCTCTTCGTTGTACGTGCACGGTTACGGTGTAGAAGATCAGAGACAACACCAGTTTGGTTCCTTCAAGAGGGAAAGAAAACCTTTTTCCTCTAAGTCGTGTGTAATGTTTGATGCTAGTCTAGGTTAAAAGAATAAAACTATAAAAGGGCTTCTCTTAAACTTCTAGAATAGAGATACCTAATAACAGAAATTAAATTAAATTGAACAAATATTAATTCTGAAAGTAACAAAATACCAATAAAATACTAGAACAGTCATTTTCACACCCCATATTCCCATCCATAAAGTTTACACAATTCAGTGTCAGCCTGTGAAAATATATGAACTGTGAAGCAAAACAAACCTACATGCAGAACAATAAAAAGGATTAAAGTACAGAGGTGTTTGAGCCCCATTTTTATGAAAATTACATTTTAGAACAATAGATTGATGAGAAATGTGTGGTTAAAAAATAAGAAAATATTTTTGATTTACGTGTAATATTATTTTAATGAAGAATGTGTAGTTGAAAAAAAGAAAAATGTATTTTGGAAAAAATTTGAATCAAACACTTTAATAATATATTTTCTTTCCTATTATGAAAATGTTGCCAGCTGGCATGGGTAGAAAAAATTGAAAAATCGAACAAATCAATCAAATCGAACCAACTCGGGTCGGGTTGGTTTGAGTCGAATTGACACGAGTAATTGGGTATTTTTTTTTTTTTTTTTAACAAAACTATAGTGGATCGGTCCAGTTATGGTTTAAAACCTATAATCGCTGGTTAACCGAACCGATCCAACCCATTTACTTGTTTACCTTTTTTTTTTTTTTTTTTTAACAAAACTATAGTGGATCGGTCCAGTTATGGTTTAAAACCTATAATCGCTGGTTAACCGAACCGATCCAACCCATTTACTTGTTTACCTTTTTTTTTTTTTTTTTTTAACAAAACTATAGTGGATCGGTCCAGTTATGGTTTAAAACCTATAATCGCTGGTTAACCGAACCGATCCAACCCATTTACTTGTTTACCTTTTTTTTTTTTTTTTTTTAACAAAACTATAGTGGATCGGTCCAGTTATGGTTTAAAACCTATAATCGCTGGTTAACCGAACCGATCCAACCCATTTACTTGTTTACCTTTTTTTTTTTTTTTTTTTAACAAAACTATAGTGGATCGGTCCAGTTATGGTTTAAAACCTATAATCGCTGGTTAACCGAACCGATCCAACCCATTTACTTGTTTACCTTTTTTTTTTTTTTTTTTTAACAAAACTATAGTGGATCGGTCCAGTTATGGTTTAAAACCTATAATCGCTGGTTAACCGAACCGATCCAACCCATTTACTTGTTTACCTTTTTTTTTTTTTTTTTTTAACAAAACTATAGTGGATCGGTCCAGTTATGGTTTAAAACCTATAATCGCTGGTTAACCGAACCGATCCAACCCATTTACTTGTTTACCTTTTTTTTTTTTTTTTTTTAACAAAACTATAGTGGATCGGTCCAGTTATGGTTTAAAACCTATAATCGCTGGTTAACCGAACCGATCCAACCCATTTACTTGTTTACCTTTTTTTTTTCTTTTTTCTTTTTGTCTTTTTTAAGAAAAATAAAAATCAAAAGACAACTCTAATTTCATAACTCTATCTCGATTCACTCCAATCTATGATGTTGCCAAAAAGTAATAGCACCGAAAATTTCCTTTCAGCTCATTATGTTATACACTACCTTTTTTCCCTACTCATACAGTCAAGTTACATAATGCATAAAAAAAATATTCTTAAGTTTTTGATTGCTCTGTTAATCTGATTTTATTTGTTAGTCAATGATTCTTGTAATAAAAAGTTTAGTTTTTGTAAGCTAAGTAGGTACAAAACTCAAACAATTTTATTTTTTTAAAAATTCAATTTGGACTAAAAGTTCAAACCAACTAACCGAACCAAGAGTTAGAGTGGGTTGGGTTAAAATTTATCCAAACCGACTAATTTGGTTTTGGTTTTGGATTAGAGTAAAAATCAATCCCAATCAAATCACGCCCAGACCTCCCCGATTAGTGTTGAATAATTTTAAATAGAGTTAATTAGTTTTCTTTATATGTTAGTGTGTCCTATGTTTAGAAAGTATAAGTATTTTTATTATTAGGTCACCTCCAGTAAACAAGAATAAGAGTGGAGAACGCTATACGAGATCACCAATGAACGTTAATAACAAACCAAAATCAGCAAACTATAATCCTACTAATGGTGATTGTGTTGGAATGCAATTTCCTTCTTGTTTGTATGTGTGCCTATATATAAACAAAGATCATACTACACGAACATAGCTGTTGACACTTTAAATGACCAAACACACACACCTCGGGGGTCGAGCATTTATGCGAGCCCATGCACGTTGTGAGGATCGATCAACCAGGTGGGCAATTTTCTTTTGACAACATAACTTTATTCTATAAACAATACTTTAAAGTATAAGTGTAAAGAATAAACTTTGCATCATAGATTTGGTTTCATGTCAACTATATACTGTACGATATGCCCCCATTTGACATCGAAAGCATCGAATATCAATGTCTCATAAGGTCAAAAATAATATATACAAACAATTGGAATATTGGACAAATGAGCTCTATTATCGATGTCTCCTTTTTCTTTTTTCTTTTTTTTTTTTCCCCAGTGAAAATGTTTCATTAACTTTTGTGCTGTGGGTTGGGACTTTTCATGGATCCTATGGTAACATTAAAGCAAGTAGTATATAGATGAGTACAAAATAATGCACAGAAATTTTGATACCAAGAAAAGTGAATTGAAATTAAATTTTCAAAAAGGGTAAAAGGAAAGGTGTGTATATATGTAGGGTGTGCTGTATGAATATCTAGGGTTTCTTTTTAGCCACCCATAAAACAAAAAATATCGAGAGCGATGATGATGACTCTTGGTTGAAAATCCCATCCTCTATGTATGATTGATGATGGAGGGCCTATTTGACTTTTGACAAGAAAAAAGCTTGTCACCTTTCCACTCTACTTTTTGCTTAATAAATTAGCTTTTTTAATCTATAAAACTCGTTTTCTAACCTCACTTCTACCCACCATTTCTCAAGTTCCAAACAACCCATAATTATATTGTTATGATACCTTCGTTTACACACATTAATCTTTGCTAACTTCGTATGGAAAAATTTTTGTGTCATCATTTTATGGATGAAAGTATTTGACAAAGAGGGCAAAAATCACTTCATGTCATTGGATAACAATTGAAGTTAAACGGCTCCTCCAATCCACTCATTTTCTAGCTACACATGGAGTATCTAGTATTCTTGAAAAATATTAATACCGTGGTGAAATTATATTCTAGTCTTATTTTTTAGCTATAACTTGTTTGATCATACACATTTATCCACCATTCATGTAGGTTAATGCTCACATGATTAATGTCACATTGATTTTCATGGAACAAAATATTTACTGATAAATCAAACACCAATAAGATTTTTCACCTTGTTATGAAGATCAGTAGTATCTAATGAGGAGGGTTGATTTTAAGATTTTGGGAGATTCAGACCAATTTTATATAAAACCCTTCTATATATATACTTCATGAGTTTATAACATGAAAAACATTAATATTGTGTGTGACTTCAACTATGTCTGACCTTATGCAGTAGACTGTCTATAGTTAAGACCGACACTACCATTAAGTTATTAAAGATGACGGATTAAGGCATAAGAGATGGTTAATTACCTCACATGGCATATGACGAGAGAAATGTTAGAAAATCTTTTCGTCATTAATGCTTGGTTAAAAGCGGCTTAATTCAAATTTTTTTGTAAGGGTAATTTTATTCACACCTCCGTTTTTGCTGACCACACCATAATTTAATTATAATGAAGATCCTAAATTTTTGTTTACTTTTGCATTTATGTCTTCAACTTTTTTCATATCATCCTTATTTTTAACCTTAAGTCAATTAGCATATAGTATCTCTTATGAGGAATGCTATCCAAATATTATGTTAGTATGGAGCAAATATTTTGCAAAACTTTTCCATTTTTTATTTATCTTGCTTATTTTAAAATAATGTAATAATATTTGCAATTGTTCACTGCTGTAATCGCCCTACGTGACATACATGTGACGGTTAGTAATTTGATGTATAATGCAATAAAAAAATTACTACATTAATACATCAAATTACTAACTACCACAGGTATATCAGATATGGCAACTATGCAATAAGCGACTGCAAAGAGCATAATTCTTTAAAATATGAACATCAAATAAGAATTTTTATTCCATCTTTTTTTTTCTCGTCATCATGAACAAGATATCCTAATTAGTAGAATGTTGAAGAAAAAATATGATGAAAATTTTAAAAATAAGTGCAAAAAAAGGTCGTAGACCTTCATTGCAATTAAAATATTGTATAATTGCCCCTCATGGGGTGATCGAATTGGTGGAGTAAATAAGCACGGAGATCTTTGGTTACAAGTTCGATTCCCCCTACTAACACTTTCTCGGTCGAGTTCATCGCACCGGGCTTGCCTAATGCGATTTACCTGACTGGTGCGGTTTGCAAGCTATTGCGTCAATTTGAGGGTTTACTCAGTGTGCATCCGAAGGATAGCGGCTGCAAGTTCCCCATCATAAAAATAAAATAAAATAATAATAATAATAATATTGTATAGTTAACAAAATGATGATGTAAATATAATTGCCTTTTTATAATTTTGAAGTTAAATATGGCCTTTTATATTCATTATCTAAAATTATAAACGTGTATCTGTCTAACTAATTCAAATTTTACTTTGAGAGAGAAAGTAGGCTTATAAGTAATGCCAAAATGTTATCAATTCGAATTCAAAGGTCGCATAGACTAATAATTATATCTTCATTTGTCTTCATATTTAAATACATAAATATTTTGATCCCCTTTATTAAAAAAAATATTTTTTAAATCTCAAAGAATTATCATTTTTTTTGTAGACGAGTTTTCAATAATTTAAATTAATTAACGATGCGAGCCAATATTATTTTTAGTATCAATTATCGATTTGAACGTTACACTTTCGTTTGCATGACATCACTGCTTCGCAGTTTATAAAGTGGCTCCATTTTCATTTTTTATTAGTAACACTTTCTCAGAGATAGAGAGA